TTTTATGTGGGATGATCTCAATACAATAATACAAATTTCTATCAAGTCATGGTATTCTTGCATTCAAAGATATTCCATATTCAGCAAGGAAATTCTGGATGGTCATGTTCATTGTACTATCAGCTATAATGTACGTTGCGTGCTTAGAATCATGAAACAGCTTGAATAGTCAGACTAATAAAGATCACAAGGAAGAACAAAATAATTTAACGTTTACTTCAATCATTCTAGGACTAAGTGACATGCACTATATAGAATACGACCACCAATTGCCAGACAGGTATTTGTAAAAACTGAATTTCTCTGATGAGCAACTTAAATGTCAAGTAAGGTCGCCGTCTTATCACAATTAGACCTCAGGGACTTTAATGCTGTGTAGTTAAATGTCGAGCCTTAAATGTTAATTTATTGGCATTAATTTCATTTTGTCAAGCAACTGTGATTTGCTCTTTTAGGTTCTACTTGTCATTCACGTTTTATGATCTGATTAACGTTTGTGAAACAAAATACTTTTCGAGTGACGAGGGATTTAATTCTTATTACTGTATACTTCAGCATGCCAAACGGGAATCCTATAAAGCAATTCCATATACATCTCAAAATTCGCTTGCTTTAAAGGCAATATAGCTATCTGTTTATTATTATATTTCCGATGTGTGCATATTTCACGCTCACAATCTCTGAAATGTAAAATTATGTTTAGTTACCGATCACAGCAGTATATGTTTCATTTAGACGTCAACATGAACTTTCTACCTTCTCATCAAAAGTCAATTTAACCAGAATTAAATGACAGTGTGAAGGAAAAACCCCCATGGATTTGATGACTTGGAGCCAAATGCTAGTCTTCGAAATTCTTGATATTTTCTTTAAATTATCTCGGTCATCCTTGATTTTTCTCTTCATTTTGTCTCGAGTTATTTTGATATCTGCTTGTGACCTGTCTCGTCTTATTTAAGGATAAATATCGACTCAATCAAGACAAGTTTGTTATTATCTTCAATAAGAATCCAGAAGATCACTATCTAGAGGCATGGTTATAAGCCTGCTGATGTAATATTTCCTTAGAAGTGGTGTGTAAAACATAGACAATTGATGTTTTCCTGTCAATGAATGAACTAGATTTTATCATATTGTAACTCAAGCCTTTGTGGGAATTTATGTGGGACGGCTTATATTGCGACTAAATAGTCGATAAAATTTGATCATGTGGAAACCGATTGGTCATATGAAGAAATCTCATTCCCCTCATAACTATAATATTATTAGCTATGCTTCGTCGGGAAATTCTATATATCAAATTTGACATAAGAATTAAAATTTCCTTTGGGCATTGAGATAATAAAAAATCCATTTAAGCAAGACAATTCCGTTAATCAAAATCCCGTCCAATGTATGGCAAAATCAAGAGTAGTGTAGTAGTGGACTCCTCCAAAGATAAGTAATAGGTGTTTCGAAAACAGTTGGCATGGTCTCAACTCTCGACCAAACAAATCAGCCAAAAATGCCAGAGTATTTATCCAGGAGTTCCGCATAACGACCGTAAGAATTCCTTCATGAGAGTTGTGGTTTTGTCATTTTTTATCATCAGACGCAAATATATTCCGATTATTATGATATATTCTATTAAGCCCCATAGTTATTGTACCTAGTTCACCATACATCTGAAATAGAAGTACTGCTAAGGAACTAATCAGCATTACCATCAAGTACAAGTAATCAATGTGTCCTTTCCACATGGCCATCACTCATCACGCTCGACCCTGATAAATTAACTTTATTATACATACTCACTCAGCGTGTTAAATTAAATAGATAATAAAACTTTGGTAGATTAATACTGTCAAATTATTCTTCCTGTTTACAAACTTAACCCCTGGTAGCTTTTGCACCGAAGAATGTTTCAAGAAGGCATATATCATTAGTAAACTAATGGCATACAATACAAGAATATATTCAAATAAGGCACATACAGAAGGCATGTGGAGTGGCGTGTTCTAAAATGAAAAGAGTTTTCAACACAGTAGTAGTGGAAGACTTGTTTGCTGGAAGGTGGTCGTTAATAGCACTGACTCTGATGACCATGTCTAACACGCAGTTTTTATTTGCTTATATATAATATTCATAGTAGATGTGTTAGTTATATTGAAAATATCTGCCATGATGTAAGAGAAGACTTAAATATGATTTAATGCGGTGTTGTGAGATTATTTTCTTCTACATCATATTGCTCTCCTTAACGTCATCTTTCTCGCCAGGGAAATCATGTCTCTTAAATCTTGTGTCTTATCATGGTCGATCATGTTACAGATTCTTGTTCTTTTAAAAACACCACTGGTACAATAACAACCAATACGTCCGTCCGTGTCATGAATCAATTGTTAGAAGTAGGTCGAAATGATGAATACAATTTATTTTTGTGATGAAAACGAATTAAATGCACAATTGGAAAACCTTATTTTTGAATGACAAAGAACCAGTGGTTTATATCTTCATTTTGATGTGCAATATGAGGTACAAGTTAATTTTATTCAGCAACCAGTTGCTATTTTAAATAATATGAAGAAGGATTTGTTATGTCAATATCGTCTGATGGATTAATGACTTTTGCAGCAAGTATCATTTCATCTCAGATGATATCTTTACTTTAACACTTCGGGGATACTTGCCTTTACGGTCACAAATCAATAGTAGAATAGTAAATCAATGGTAGAAATTAACTAGTAACTACTACAACCCTATATTCACCACTTGGTACTATCATAATATTATCTTTTCATCTTATTTTAGTACATTATAATGACTATTTCTAAAGCTTATCATCTGTGGAGATTGTTCATGCTAATTGCCAGTTTCCATTAACATGTACCAGGAAACTCTATTGATTTGAGTATATTAAGTTTATTAATGGTAATTCGTGTAGATACACTCTAAAATTTGTTCAAGAAAAAATGTGAATCTTCCTTCCATTAAAAAAAGACCAACACTACAGAGCACATTCTGACAACCTGAAAGCCCACTGCCTTGAGTCGAGTACGCAATATCCACTTGTAGGACTCTCTTACAGGACGTTTCGTCGATTTATGAAAAATAAATGGTTAGACAAATAAAAACATTATTCGTAATTTGTAGATATTTATTGTGGCCATTCGTCTGGAACTTAATCTGAATTAATGTTTTGTTCAGCAATATTTCACTGAATATTTACCTTCGTTTGGCATATCTTAAAATATTTGTTCACACTTGAATGTCACGATTTGATTTACATATTGTTTGGTTTGGAACACAATAATGCTGTTCTCGTGTATTTTTGTGTTGACTGAAAAAAAGAAAACGACAGAATGGAACTATATATTACCAACATTCATGTCTCTTTTGAATAAGAATTGGGTAGATGTGTAGCTCATTTTATTTACAGATCGTTGACTGACAACCAATCTTAAAATAATGTCTTAAATGTCAACAGTATTAAGATTACTTGGCCAAAATCACATTGTTGAAAACTAGAAAGTAGTATCAAGGTTTTGGAAGGTCGAAATAAGAGGCGTAGGTAAATAGTAATTACTTGAAATTACAGTTCTAAATGTGATAGGTTAACATCATAAGTTAGAAAGAAGTGTGGCCAGGGTTCTTATTACTCCCAAATTACTAACTGAAATTAGAAAAATATTGTGGAAATCTTTAGTTTTAATAACATCGGGAATATTTAGTCGCTTTGGTCAAGTTTATAAAGATTAATTATAATCTGAAGAAAGGGACAAAAATGGAGCCATTCCTGAAATTAGGAAAATCTAGCTCCATTAGAATATAACTCCGCACATTGAAACAGCTAATGATAAAATCGCCAGATTGTGCATTGAGCAAGCAATGAATAATAATGCTTAAATCAAAGAGCTGTGCTTTATTATTGTATTATGATAAAGACTACACATCGCACGGAACGTAAACGATCTTTGATAGTAGGACTTCATGGATGGGACGCATTAAACGGCGGTATATATATAAGCATCGGCTTACTTTGTGACATTACTCAAAATCAAACATTTACGATATCATAAATGATGAAAATGCATGTACATCAAATAGCGCTTTAAAAATAATTATTATAATTCATGAAATAAAGTAACAACGAAATAATAAATATATAATGACTTTGGTGTATGTTTTCTTTTAAGAAAGTTATATATAAACATGAATAAAATGTTCGGATATAATTACATTGACTACAAATATTGTCTATTGTGTTAATGTAATGAAATGTAATACATAAATGCAAACATGGAATCAATAGTCGTTTGATCTTCTCTTTATGCAAACATACAAAAGTCAATGTCCTATACAGGTTTTCTCAATCGTGTCTTTTAAGTTGTATATTATTTCTTGAATTTGTTACTGAAATTGAAGATTGCAACCGAAAATAATTTTGAAAGTAATGAGGACATTTTCCATTTCATAATTTTTTTTATAAATCAGTATCCCAGTGTTATATTTAATTTGTTGTTCAAGAGTTAGCATCTATAATCCTTACAAATTCAACACCTGATTTGCTTATTCCCTTTAGTTGGGCGTCAATATTTTAAATGCAGTAACCCAGACAAGGTAAAAACAAATTAAAGTAATTGAATCTGTATATTACATCAGGCTATCAAAAGACTTATTTTTCTAACACCATCTGTTGAATCTAACGCTAACAATATCAAGTATCAATATCCGATCGTGAGATTATTAAGCCTGTTTTTTATTGAATCTCAAAGCTAAAACCGAATTCTATTATATTCGCTATTAATCATCAACTGTATATTGTTTCATTGTATCGATTAGAAAAAAAAGTTGTTATTTAATTACTAAATTTACATGCTAGAATAGATCCGGCTTTTGTCATTATTGTCAAACTATAATTGTTTATAGGTTTCATGTCCAGTTGTATCTCTGTATTCATACCGCAAACCACTAAACCACTTACGATTTATTTTGTAATGTCTGCATGTCTGTACACCAAAATGCCGAGAGCACATGGAAATGCATACATGGTAATTTCAGTTATCACTTTCGTCTATTACTCTATAAACGAAACGAATTTGTCGATTTCCTCTATCGATTGAAGTGAACAGGAAATATATTCATCTCTTCAATTCGCCTTCTTTCTACATGCGAATGTCAAAAGTCAGAAAAAACTATTTCAAATCGATGAATATTCTTTAGAATTCGAGTGACGTTGTCGATATTTAGATTAATTAATTGATACACATGGAGTGAAATAGATGTGTGTTGTCTGGAAAGGGAATGCATTCTCGATAGAATGTTGACATGTTTCCCCAAAGGAATGATTGGAAAACTGTGATGGCCATTGGCAAGCGACCAAATGTTACTCCCGAGGCGGTCAGTGTGATAGTTTCATCATTTATTACATGTCGACATTGCCCTAAGGACTCATTTGTGCCCTATCATTACGTCAAATCATGTTTTCCAGGCATATGTCTGATCAAGTACTTAAACATCCACTGTGGAGAGCACATACTACTTAGTGGTTGAGAAGATGTTGCTCGCCAGTGAAATCAATTTACAGCCCATTATTTGTACGCCTTATGTTAAATTGTATATATGATATCTATCAACAACGATTTTATGCAATTGTGGTCAGACGTTTAGTGTTACTCCCGTGTCTTTGTTTGAAATTTGTTGATTTTGTCCCAATTGAAGCAGACGGTAGTACTGAGTTAAAGATATTTTAAAGGAAATGAACCATTCTTATGTAAATAGCTGTTACCATATTATTAGTACTAGGGGTTTCAGATACTGAATGACTCTTCTACACTTTAAATACATTTATTAAAGTAGTAAATTGAAAGAATTACGCAATCAGTACAATCAAATTCGTAATTGACATCATCTATATTTAGCCACCGGAAATGGTTCTCGGTTATCTCTAGATCAATGGTGTGTGTTTCAGAACATAAAATGTTGTCAGTTTGCAATCTAAATAGCGCTGGTTTCCTTTCTCTTTACCCTGATTTCATCATAATAAACGCTAACAATAATTTGCTATCAAAACTGGATGCAGTGTAATGGATTGAAACGCTTGTGTGACACTTGATTGTCGCCAACGTAATTTTCGGTGTTATAAGAATTATTCATATTTTCCTATTCAAATGTTACTAAGTTAGTTTAAGACTTGCTCATGAATTAATAAAATTCTTGTTCTTATGATGAAATTGTTTTAATTAGTATTAAACCGATATTGATTAGTAGTGACAAAATAATAATTTTTAATTCAAAAATGTTTTTGGGGTTGATAGACATTTTTTTGTCCTGCTGACGATCAACAGTAATGTTTCTCAGCTAAAACTCTTCAGTGTCAATATTTTACCTGGAATATCAATCATGCTAGTATTACACAACATGCGATGACTGATCTTCAGGGATTTTCCATATTTGCTATTTATAGATCCCGTGGGGATAGTTCTAACAGTTCTATTGATGTTGTCGATACGAAATTGAGAAAACAATATTCTGCTCTTATAGGCCATAAAGACTAAACACCTACCTTTGCGAAACCGATTTGGCCCATGTTTTGGACTTTTCCTACTAATTAGACCTCAGGGACTTGAAAAAAACACTTAAAATTAAAACCTAATTAAAATCAATTATAGAGAATAAAATATTGTTAGTTACAAGGGACGACTGCACGAAAAGTGCTCAAATTCAAATACATTTTAATCTTATAAACTGCCGAGGGATCGAGTTCAAATAATTGAGGCTCTTTGCGAAGAAAACCTAAGACAAAATTACGAAATAGTAAGGAAGGGGGTAAAAGTAAAGATTTATTGGGGAAATGGTGGTAAAGCAATTGATCCACGGATCATGAAAGGGCTAATACACAGAAAAAGATTGAAAACTTCTGGTTTGGATTGAAGCTGAATTTGTCCTTTTTTATTACCTATGCCGTGCCTTGCCAATATGCATTGTCCATCTAAATATCAAAATCTAAGTGATATTAGCAATTACTTTCTATTTGAAAAATCAAAGATGTCTTTGATGTTCTGAATTTCATTTAATGAATGACACATTAAATTCCAATTTTTGATGGGAAAAGATAACAATTGCTGTTAATTATTAATCAAAGCGCGTTGTTGAATCCAAGCAGATGGAAAGTCCTTTCAAAAACACTTTACGTGTCCATAATCGATGACAATCAACATAGTTGCATATATATCCCAGAATACCCGGAATGAAGTTTTAGTCAAAGCCATCAAGGTTTCAAACTGGTTGGTGGAGTCTTTGCTATGATTTTCTTACAGTTTATTGTAACCTAAGAGCAATTTTTTTCAATATCATTAGTAGATTCAAATCGAAAGTTTGGAAATAGCATTTGATATTGTTTGGTGTGAAGTACTTTTAATTTGCTTTTATGCCACAATATTGATTTTTGGATTTTATGTCTTGAATAATTTGAGATCTATTTTTAAACTCAAGTTATTGTTAGAATCTTCCAGTTAAATTTACCATATTCCTTATCATTTATTCCTATCGATTTTTTATTGTTCTGTTAACGCTATATTTCTGTAGTGGTACAATTTTAACTGCAATTTCTATCATTAATGTATCACTTAGCTCGTTTGTACAGAAAGAAATTATAGCCATTAGAATGGTTTATTTCTGATAAGTTGATAGCATTTGACTTTTTTTTAGCACGAACCCCTGTGAAATGACAATGGCCCATATTAGCATTACTCCATGTGGGTCCACAAAAACTCGTAGGACAACTTATATGGTTTGATATTATAATGTTTGTCGTTGTATTTAACCACATAGCTTGGTTTGATTTTTGATAATAATTAACATTCGTGTAAGTTCGTAGTACGCACAAGAAGAGCTCATTTTATATCGAACTTGTTTGTACATAGCTAACGCTTGCGGAGCCTTATACCATGATTGAATTGACAAGATTAGACCAATGCGGAAACTTGTGTTTGTCTTTTGGTGATACATGTATCGGAAGATCTCCATCCTGTTGTAACGGAAATGACAACGTTAACATCCGGCTGTACATTTCACTAATGAAGTGAGATATCAATGCACGATGCTAATGTATTCTTTAATTCTTTCTATTATAAGACAGGTTACGATTTAGATCCTAATAGAGTCGACCTTTATTATATGGTAAAATGCTAATGTTTATACATTATATACACTATTATCGCTATCTCTATCATAATAAAATTGTTTTTCTCTGGTTATAGAGTCGGTATTCGAGCATTCTTGAAATAAAAGCAGTATTTGATAATGTTAAATCTAAATAATTTGCCCATGGTAGATCTGTTTAGAAAAACAAGACATAGATTTCGAAAGCTTTTCATTAGAAGAGAAATAAAGTTAATAATTCGGAACACGAACACTGACAAAATTTCGTAAACTCAAGGGCACACTCGTTTAAGTGAATAATTATTTATAGTAAATGAAATGCTAGTTTCCTGATTCAGTTAATCTAATGAACACAAGCAACAGCAATGATTGCATGGAAAGTGGTATTTGACTTCTCTTTATCGTTTTCCATCTATCGGGGGATCGTATTAATTGTCTTGTGAAAGACACATTTTCTTTCCTAGAACATAAAGTCAAATATGGACGGCATTGAGTAATTTGTCAGCTTTAGGTTTCCATTAATATGCATCGTATCTTGGGTCGAATATGCAAATTTTAAACATAAAACACTATTTCTTATAAAACGGTATCAAATAACGTGTGCTTGGACATAAAATCTTTATTGGAAACCTCCTAAATTATAATACGATTGTGAATATCGTTAGCATAGAGGCAAACGTTTAATTGCATATAAGACACACAAATAAATTTGCACAAACTTCCGGAAAAGAAAATGTTCACTTAACCATCCGCATTTTCTATGATCTTTGTGTATTTTTTTAATTTGAACTAATTTCGTCTTTTTATTTTTAGAAAATTTCTCAGTAGGCTTGTTTATCTAGATCCATTCACTGTTTTTCTGGAGATAAAAATATCCTTCACGATAAGTTATCGCTAATTAACAATCTACCAAATTCATCTCATTTCCCGTTGTTTTTCTATCTTGATTGAATCCGGCGATGTTTGATACTAGTGCTTACTGTAAGGTCCGCGTTTTAAATAGTTGACATTATAAATGTTTTATTATCGAACAGATTATTGTGATAACAATATTGAATTTCAAATGAAACCAACTCGCTTCTATTTGCTGCACTTTATGTGAAGATCTTGAATAAGTAACAATGAATGTTCTAAGAATGTTAGTGAAGTAGCTTATGTAGTATCGGAAATGTTATATTTGATCGAAAGACTTCAACAGTTCCATTGACTGTCTGCTTCTTGATGCTTTATGATACGTCTTCTATTTTTATCACCGAGTTTTATTATTTTAGTGTCGAGATAATATTATTGTACAGGGTCAAAATGGTTGATTCGTCAAGACTTTGATCATGAAGAATATTGATCACATGACCCAAAATACTCACTGATGTCACGTGCAACAAGCAAGAATCAAATTTGTGATTAATGGCTTTAATTACATTCGTGCCAAGTCACGGTCGTCGTAAATGTATCACAATGTGATACTTTGACTTTTAAAGAATATAACATCAACAGTCCTACCGTTAGTTGTATTTTTATATCACAGAAAGAAACTAAAATTTGCTTGCTTTTAAATAATAGCTACGAATTACTTATTGGCTCAACTAAAAAAAATCCAGATTCTGGGACTAAAGTATGATTGGTCAAAAAAATGGCCTACCTATCCCTTTCATGAAAGTCAATTGGAATATTTCTAACGAAATGAATATCGAGGGTGTTTACCCACTATTAGAGAGATATCAGGTGTTTCGGGACTAAAAGCTTTTTAAAACTTTAAAATGCAGTCACTACATAAGTAGCATTGTCTCCGTCAAACTATCAGAACGTCCTTTGTCCAAAAGGTGGTACTTCCATGCTGCAGTACCATCACCACACGTAATGAGTTTATTCAAGCTAGTGCAGACCGGTA